GGACACCTCATGTCTACACAGCCTTTCAAGAGAGCACTTACAGAAGCATATAGCAGAAGTACATTATTAGCTCATATTCCTTCTTAAAAAAGCACTTGCTGTTTTTCATAGCTCCTGAGAAAGGAATGTTGCAGGGGAAGGGTGCAAGATGAACAGCATTTTTTTTAACTGCTGACAAAAGTGTTTTGTAAAGAAGAAATGTAACAGAAATCGTGTATCTGCAGGTTTAAGTACATACATGTGTTGTGCCTAGCAACATAACCATGGTATGAAAGCCATCTGTTATAACATACTGTACCTGTTTGCCATATTTCTCTTCCCATGAATGTCTAATACTTGTAAGCTAACACAAACCTGTCACAGTCCGCTGACCCTCAGTCAGGCTACTCCACCACCTGTTAACCTGAAACAGAAGTGGAACGATCAGCACCGCGGCCGTGCACATGCCCTTTCAGAGGCAGTCACACAAGGCTCTGCTTTAGGACTGCAAAGTGTTCCTTTGGAAACGGTTATGTAGAGCAGCTTTAAAGTTTTATTTCTCACTGATTCAGCTTTTCAGACGGGGATTTCTTTCTTAAGAGTAGTTAGCTACTCTCCTTCTAATATATCCAAGCAGAGATGAAAAGTCTTTGAACAGAATGGAGCTGTACCAATCTACATAACTCCTGGGATGCATCAGCCTCCACTGAACAGGGATTTAGCCCATAATTCTTACATTACCAGATTAAACACAGTAAGCATCAACCCTGCCTTGACTAAGCTTCATCCTAAAGCTATCTAACATCACACCACCCACCTTTAGAGATTCCACTTTTGTACCAGGGTCACTTTTTGCAGAGGTGGCTCACAAGATGTGGAATCCATTCCCCCTCGCGTCCTGCTCACCCAGCCCTCCTTCAAGTTTAAAACCCCTGGAAAAATTTATTTTGAGCGCAGTCAGCCTACAGATAATTTTTTTCCTCCCCTTAAACTTCTAGAAGCAGTTTATATAAATATTTTGTTAGCACTAATGACCTTGCAACCATACGGGGGAAGACAGCATTATATAAATTAGCTGCAGCATACAACAAAACAAACCACTCGTTCTCTCATATCAAGGTAACCAGTTTAGTGCTTTTTAAAAATTCTCTTCAGATACTAGTTATTTTCTGCTAAGTCCTCCACTAAACAGTGGTGACCTCTGCAACACAACAAGTAGAATGCACTCGAGCTATATGAGAATCCTGCATTTTCATCAACATAACCGACCAGGTGGACAGAGACCTATCAGCAACACGGTAGTTGTATTTTGGTTTTGGACAGCAATTCAGCACGCGAGGGAGCACGTCACCATGAAACGTGGTACCACGGTGCGCCCAGCACACGGACAGCCTGTGCCCTCCAGCCCATGCCCAGATCCACATCCCTCCGATGTAACGCCCAGCGGGGCGCGACCTGACACAGGTCAGGGTGGTACCAGGGTGCCACTTTCGGACTGGCTATCGCTGCTCTCTCCCCCTTCCCCTCCGGGTGCAGATGCTCTTTTTCGCTGGGCCTGGGGCAGCTGAGGACAAACTCCTTTCTCAACAGAGCTTTTACCATAACACTGCCAGCTGGTTTCCTAGAAATAACTGCGCTGGGTTTTGTCTGGGTGAAACACAGGTGCTGTAACTCAGCTCTTCCCCGGAGCCAGGCAAGCGCTGCCAGAGGGATGTGCGTGCCGGGGATGGATGCCACAGGCTCCCCCCAAGTCCTTACCTGCTTCCTGAGGTCGCCTCGCTTCTGCGGCCGGATCTTGTCCATCCAGTCTGCGCGCGCTCCCTCCAGGTAGCTCTGCACACGCGACTTGAGCGCCTCGTACTGCCAGATGGCCGCCGAGCCGAAGGCGCAGCCTGTGAACTGCGGCGCGCGGCCCGTGAGCGCGGCCCGCGCCGCCTCGGCCCCCAACGGACCCCAGGGGCGGCCGCGAAGCCCCCCGCGCCCGGCCCGCATTACCCCCACGGCGAAGACGAGCGGCTTCACGAGGCGCCCGGGCGAGGGGCGGCCGGCGCGGGCGGGCGGCGGCGGCGGGCACAGGCTGCGCCGCGGCGCAGGTGCCGCCTCGGCCCCGGCCGGCTCCTCGGCGCGCGACCGCGCCCGGCGGAACCCGCGCGGCTGCTCCAGCAGCACGGCGACCCTGCGGGGAGAGAGTGTCCGTGAGCGCCACGCGGCGCGGCCCACCCCCGGCCGGGCCCGGGGCGCGTTACCTGTGCGGCCGCGGCGGCCAGCCGCGCGCCCAGCACCGCCACGCCATGTTGGAGGCGGCCCGACGCGAACTGTGCTTCCGGGGCAGCCGCCCGCCATCTTGCGGGGCGGCTCCCTTCCCTCGCCGCCGCGCTTCGCTTCCCCGCGGCCCGATACTGCGGCGCCCCTCAGTCCGCGGGGGAGCCCCGCGCGGCGGGCGGGCGGGTCGTGCAGGAACGCGCAGCGGGCCTCCCGCCGCCACAGCGCGGAGACTGCTGCGGGCAGCGCCATGTTGGGGCGGGGCGCGCGGCGCCGCTCGCCGCCATTTCCGGGCGCACCCGCCATGGCGGGGCGCGGGCTGGCGGAGGGGGCCGGGCCGGGCAACGACGGTGTTTGTGGGGTTTTTTCTCACAGGGTTTGGACGTTTTTGCCCTCCACCGAGGGCTGTTTGCTGACCTCATGAACCGCCCCCCCCCCAGCTTCCTGCTTGGGCTTAGGCACTACCTTGGGGGTTAAATCTGCATTTTATCAGCTTCTGATTGCACTTCTGCTCCTGGTTCAGCCTCGGGATTTGCTTGAATTAAGCACGAGTTAAGCGGGTTTGAGGCTGTATGGAAATACATAAATATTTACAGAAGTGAAAGCAGTGTGGTACATAATATTCTCACTGTCCCTTTTTTTTTTTATCCCCCTCCATGTAGCAATAAAAAAGAAAAGATTAGTTTTAACTTGCTGCATTTTTGCTTCCAGATATTTGAATGTCTTCTGCAGACCTTACCAAGGTGATTTGCTTGTTAAAGCAGCTCCAGTATTTTCCTTCGTTAGCCCTACCTGCCTTGTGTGGCAGCCACATACGTTCTGCGTCCGCATGTTTTGATGTTGGGATGAGTCCTGTTCCTTTGGCACCCCGGGGTCTGGGCTTACCCTATCACAGCTCTGAGGTGTACATGGCCTATATGTACAGTTGCTGAGAGAGGATGCTCTGGACTGCTTTATTGTTTTTTCTTTACAGTCAAACTCATTTGGGCAGTACTAAAATCCCGTTATCACTAGTTTGGCCATCGGTGTGGCGGATAAAATCAAGTCTTGATGAGAAAGCCGTATGACATCAACTTAAGGGAAAAAAAAAAAGTAGCTTTTTGGAGACTTCTTTGCATATGGTGTCTGTTACCTGCTCTCTCATTCTGTTCAAGCAACACTGTCCTCATCTTATCCACTGATGAGATGGGCAAAGTGGGGCACGGTGCCCTAGCGGGATGCCGCCCACTTTGCAAGCCTTGGTAGGTGCTCAACATCCCACCCTCATGCCCCCATGTAGGTCACTCACTTGGTCTCTGGCTGATAGGAGTGTGAATGCTGCAGAAGAAATCCAAGGAATTTTAAAGTGAACCTGGTTAAACAAAGTGCCGATTCTCCCACCTCCCTTTTCTAGAACATGTTTCACCTGCCTGAGACTTGCATTTCACGAGGCCTCCACTGCTCCCCAGTGCGGCCAGTCAATGGTGAAGATCTGTTTTTGGTCTCGCTTCCGATCCCTGCTGAGACACCAGACCTGATGCTCCTGCCCCTCAGAGTCCAACCAGCCAGTGCTTTGCCTGTCTGGCATTAGAGGTTCTCCCTGGCTGCTTTGGTGGGAAATAAAGCACGCTTTTCTTCAAGCTCCACTCAGAGTGGGGTGCTCACACGCATAAGTGGCAGTTAATGGTGCTCAGTCATTGCAAGGATGGAAGAAGGCCTCTTAGAATGTGGTTTGCACCTTCTTAGAAATTGGTTGGATTGGGACTGGGAAGTGAGGTAGGTTGTTTGATGTTTTGTTTATTTGGTTGGTTGTTTTTTGTCTGTCTAACTCCCAAGCTTCCTCAATTTTAAACTTACTTTAAATTATTAAATTTTAACAGCACTTTTATTAGATTTTAGCAGCATGTTATAACATCAACAGATGCCCTCCGCGTGGTGACGATGCACCATACACAGCTCAATCTTCCTGTTCAATCTACAGCTCACAGTTGTAGGTCAGGAAAGACCTACAGCTGTGTGGATCAGAGCATGTATGTCATACACAGAAACACTTGCTTGAATTATGAGCCTACCCATGTAGTGGGAAGCCTCTTTGCATTTGTTGTTTATTTTGAATTTTTTTGTTTGTTTTGAATGTTCTTTATTAACTGTTATGTATATTTTGAAGAGGATGCACAATTTAAAGTGCATGTGAGAAAAGTGATCCATCTTCAGTGCAAGATCCAGCTTTCAGAGTGGACTAGACACACTCTTAAGGAGTGGACTACAAATGTTTCTGCTTTCCTATACAAAAAAAAAATATTCCAGGATGGTGCAGTTGTTTTGAATTGATTTTTACAGAATAAAGCCTTTTTTTTTTTTTAAATGCAGAACTGGAATATTTCTTCATGGTATGGGCAGCATACTAAAGCAAGTCATGCTTGAAGTTGTTTGCTTGTCATATGCTTGCCCCCTGTCTTGAGAGCATAGCGTGTTGGTGACGAGTGCAGCGCACAACTCTCAAGTAAAACAGCCACTGGGAAAACCGTGATATTTTTCTTGTAGGCAGTGGGTGGGCAGCTCACTGTCACCAACAAAGCAGGCTTGGTGCTGGTGACTGCCAGAGTAAGGCTGCTCACATGATATTAATGTATATATATATTTTTAATGTACTGTCATCCATTTTACTGAAATTTAGCTATAGTGACCGGCTATGTCTGAGCTTTTGTGCAACAGTCAGTGAGTGCTCTGGCCTTGATCTTAGAACAGCGGGAAAAGTCCAAAAGAGGGCAAAATTGCTTGAGCAAACTGATCCTCCCAAAGTGCTCACAGTCGTGCCCAGCAGGAGGGCAAATGCAGTGGAGAGAAAAATAACACCAACGTGAGTATCAGGATCTATTTCATTTTACATTTGTATCTGTAAGCGTTGTAATCAGGTGATGAATAATTTATATTAGCATTTGATATCTTTAAAATAGTTTTGAGTTTGCAGAGAAGTGAAGACCTGATGAAAGATTGCAAATTCACAGCATAGTTCCTCGGTTCTTCTGATTTGCCTTTGTTGTGATTTTTTTTTTTTTTGATGGTAAACACACACAAAATGCTCAGTTGTCAGAATAGTTTATTCCCAATGCCTCTTGAGATTTCGGTTCTAGTTGTATAACATTCTTACGTGATAAGTTATTTTGTAGGTAGATCTTTTGGGTATTTACCTAGAAGATAGGCTTGTGACTGGCGTGAAGAAAAATGAATCCATTTTATGTGCACATAAACTGTCCCAACAGGTTTCTCATATCGGGAATCTCAGGGGGCTGCTTTGAAAAGCAGCGAACGTCGGGAGAATGGCATCATCTTCATCACAGATCTGTGTCTTGCTGCTGGCTTTATCAGGCTTCACCACCATACTTCTCACCACCATGTCCAACCGGTGGACTGTTTCCAGCACTGCGGCTGTGTCGGCTCCTATGGACTGGGTTTCAGAAGGTCTTTGGATGGAATGTGCTGTGGCCGCACAGGGAAAAGTGCAGTGCAAGAGCTTTTTGTACTTGTTGAGTTCAGACAGTAAGTTTGTGTGGCATACTTAAATAAAGTAGAGCAGTGGGGTTTTGTTAGTCTATTGCTCTAATATTTCTCAGAGGTGGCCAGCTTAATTTGGAGTGTGTCTATATAGGTAATGCTTCTGTGTTTTCTAAGTTAGCATGCTAACTTATCTGCAAATAGCAAGAGAAGAATTATCTTTCAATGGACTGGAATTTAATTTTGCTTGGATTATTCTGCATTTTGTTTGTATATAATTCTACCAAGCACCCTTTTTGTGGTAAGGGACCAGAAAGACTGATGTACTTAAGTGCTTTCTTAAAAACAAACAAACAAACAAACAACAAAAAAAGCAGAGAAACAGTTGCAGTACATCATTCAAACACTGATGTTTTGGTTAGGTTTCTTCTTAAACAGAACAGTCTGCTTGTTCTTTTACAACTTTCTGACTTGTGCTTTTTTAGCTGCATTACTATGGAAGCATTTTTTCAAATGCTCCTCCTTTTATAGACCCCTAATTGTCATTGCTGGGCTTTTGGAGTTTTTTTTTCTGGACTTTTCCAACTTTTTTTTTTTTATTATTATTATGCAGTGCTTAACCTGATGCTGGTCTTAAAAATACCACATCTTGCAGACTTGCAGAAGGAAGTGGAGTCCAGATGTAGACTCCGCTGAGATCAGAACTTGCAGAAAAGTGCAAGGCAGGTTTATAAAAGCAGACTGCCTGAAAACTCTAGATTCAGCATTTACACGTTTCCTCCTCAAACCCCTATGTCTTGTGGCCTCCTCTTTGTGATGATGGTGCCAGCTTGAGAATAAAGATTAAGGATCACATAATGAGTACAATTTTGTAGCCTACTACTAGCCTACATGCTAACTTTATGTTAGTAGTGCTTTAGTAACTCCACGCATGCAAGTTGGAGGCAATATCAGCACTTCATACCCTTCCCTTTTAGCTGTGCAGATGCCACATACAAGAACACTCCTCCCAAGGACACCCTTTGAGCTGATACAAGGAAGGCCCAGTTTCATCTAGAAAGCTAGATCTGATTCCTGGGAGACAGGGTGTGGAGGTGGGACCAGTGATCCTTCAGGTCTCGCAGCCTCACCCACCAGGCCATGGAGTGATACCATAAATAGGCAGTTTCCTGGGGAGCCGAAGCTGTTGCCTCTCCAGGGATTTTTCTTCACTCCCTTCCTGTGACTCCCCAGTTTTAAGAGCAGATCCCTGCTTAGCTGGGCTCTGCTGGGCTTCTATGGCAGCTTCTCCTGGGAACAGCAAAGGCTTCTTCAGGCCAGCCCAGGGCACTCGATGCAGTTGTCTGGAGAATCGCTACGGGAAGGGCCCCTGCTCTTCCTAAGTGCAGAGTCAGTGCTCCTACAGTCTGGGACAAATGGACATAGGTGACAGAGATCAGGAAGAGATGGCTTGTTTTGGTCAAAAAATTAGGAACTAATTCTTTGATTGCTTTTGTTTGTTTGTTTTGTTTTTCCAACATTCCCGTAATGGAATGATTAAAATGGTGCTGAATGAGGGAAAACTCATGTGTTCCACATCTGCAGTCCAATCTTTTCTGCTTTTATGTGTGTTTTATGAGTGCCCACCGATATAATCTTCTCAAGGCCATTAGGAAGAGAAGAATTCTTTATGAAAACTTCTCAAGGCAGCATTAGAAAAAATCTGGGGACACTTGCTTCAAGTTCTCAGCTAAACTCAGCTTAGAGAGGCCTGTGAGCAGCACTGATCTCTGAGGTTGCCAGAGTGATACTTGTGTATGAAGGGATTAATTGGAAAGTCTCTAGAGAGCTTTAGAGAGCTTTTAAAGTGATGCTGATTTTCAGTGTATTCATTTTATTGTACCATTGTTTTGAAACTGTAGTGACCTTTCCCTAGCTGAAGGAGAGGATTCTCTAGAAATGTCCTTAGAAGATAAATTTTTAGCACATTGCCATCCCATTTCTTTGAAAGATTGCAAGTGCAGAGCTGCATGGGACCACACTGGCCCTGCTGCCAAATCTGTTCTGATTTAAGTCACTGGTGATGCTCCTCTTAGTTGCCAACGGGGCAGAAACAGCCACAGTGATTTTGTAGTGTCCTTGTGCAACCAGAACATGGTCTTCCGTAGCACAGGCTTGAAATGACCTGTAAAATTGGGGAAAAAAAAAAAAAAAAAAAAAGAGTGAAATCTGTTATGAGCAGGTTGAGACTCACAAAAAATGATCCTGTTGGGAGTCTCAGTGTAAACGCTGCTGTGCCGTAACTCTGCTGTGGTTTTGTATCGGGACATAGTCATTACCTGAAGAAACTGTGGTTCCATTTCCTGGACGTAAGAGCAGGTGACCGCTGGGAAAGATGCTTAGCTCTCTTCACACACACAGGCAGCTTAAGGTATTAAAATAAAAGGGAGCTGAGAAATGACTCTGTGCTGGTGTCTAGTTAAGGGCAGAAGCAAGTAAACCAAGTTTACACACTTCAACTTTGTCTAGAATAGATTTTTTTTAATGTAATAATATATATAACCTGAGAAGCGTGCAATTATTTAGAGGGTTATTCCTCAGGTAGCTGTTTTCCTCCATCTGTTTAGCCCTTTTGAGATAGGCTTGTCACACTGTGGGTCCATCCCGTGTGTTTTGTTTCCGTGAGCCACACATTAGCATGGCTGTATACCAGTATACCTGGGACTCTGCTTTAAGAGTGCACCAGTTTAACTGGAGATCAATACATGGTAAAATATTAATGCAAATCATTTATCCGTAAACCTAACATTCCTGAAATAAGCTTATAGTACAGTTGTTAGCTATTTTAGCTAAGCTGGAAGTTATTCCTAGTTTACTTATGACTATAATTCTAAAAATGCACCAAATCTATGAATGGGGGAAAATAAATTCTGCTTGGAAGTTTCTAGCTGAGTTTCACCATGAAAAAAAATGACACGAGAAAGCTTGATTTGATTTGATGTCAGAAGTTTCATTACATGTTTCCCAGGTAAACTGTAGTCAACTGAGAGATGGAGATAAGGTATTTACCACAGTCATCACTCCTTCACAACATTTTATAAGAGTAGTGGCTGGCCTTTATAGGCTGAGATTAAGAATAGGCTCCTTTTATCGCTTATTAGTATTGTCAGTAGTTTAAAAAAATAGTGCTTCTGTCATAGACTGCTCCCACTTCTTATTGTCATTCCCTGGAAGTGTTATCTCTGGGGCTGAGCAAAGAGCAAAGGTAGCCTCATTTTGGAATGGAAGCCAAAGATAAAACAGCAAGGAGGCTTCTGAAGACAGACATATTCTTCATTCACCTGGTTACAATCTAATTATAGGAGCATTTAGCTGTTACTACTCCCAAGTATGTCTGCTGCTTTGGAAATTATTGGTTTTCTTTTGTGTTTGGGGGGGTGCACACTTATCAGAGTGACTTTGCCACACAATTACTGGAAAGTCACCAGTATACATGGTAGTGTGATGACCACGTCCACGTTTTATGAAAACCTCTGGAAGAGCTGTGTGGAAGACAGCACTGGAGTGTCCAGCTGCAGAGAATTTGACTCTGTGTTTGTGCTGCCGGGGATGTGACTTTGCTCAGACTTGTTTGTACTGCTACAGATTTTGTTGGAAGGAAAAGGTGAGATTTTTGTTGTGGTAATATGGTGGTGCTGGAAAATGACATTGATTTTTTGGCCAATAAGGAATTTGTGGGCTAAAGATTAAAAAAAAATCCTCTTTAAGCAGCAGAATATATCAAACACATTAGGAAATGCTATAAAATAATGCTGTAACATAAGGGAAATGAAATCACTTGATTAAGCAGTTACTCTACTTGGCATTTTAAGTATAGCGTAATTTCTTTTCTAGCATCTCATGGGAAGATTTGTTGCACAACTCTTAAAATAATTCCTTATTTATTTGGAATGACTGTATAGGCATTCCTTTGCAATGCTTGACATCCAGTGTACTGTATCTGTAGCTTTTTTCATATAAATAGGTAAAAAGAAGTAGTATTTATAGTGAAGAAGCAGCTAGTATTTTTGGCATGGCAAGACTGAGAATCATACATCATAGGACAAAGAAGTTAATTTATCTGCCAGAAGCTGGCCGTTAATGTTGGAGATGTTTCTAGATATCAGAGAATTTAGAGGTAGTTTTAGATCTGTTTCCTGTGCTATGTATCGGTTTTCAGTAGTATTGTAGGTTGTCCTCATATATTTAAGAATACCATTCTGTGCATGGTAATTAGCTTTACAGACAGTTAACTTAGTTGTTACTAATCTGGAATGTCTGTGCACTCATGCCAGAATAAGATTGTCTTCCTCATCAGCTGTATCCATCCGGGGAGGTGGTTGAATTGATGAGGATGGAGGGTACTGTTGTTGTAGAGAGCGGCTAATATAGGATTAGCCTACAGGCTAGACTGCCTAGACTCAGCAGGAGGCAAGTTCATCAGCTGGAAAGGTCCTAAAAGTGGCTGCTTGGAGATAAACTTCCACATGGCTGAAGACGACATCAGTTACTTAAGTTACTTGAGAAGATGGTAGTGTATCTGGGGAGTATACACAGGTGGAAAGGGAGGCTAAAAAATGCTTACAGCATTACAGATGAGAAAAGATTTAGAAAGAAAAGCTGAGTAAAAGAAAAAACAACCAGATAGGAGACACTGAAGTTTAGAGAAAGTCAAGACGATAAGTTGACCAAGTCAGAAAAGAGGAAGAAAGCAGGGTTGTTAGCAATGCACCTGCAACTGTAAGGACAGGCATACTAAAAATAATCACTAGATTAGATGTGTTTCAGACTATTTTTAGGAAACAGCCTGTGACAGGAAGATGCCAGAGGTTATTAAAAAAAAAAGGTATCTTTGTTCATGAGTTGTTATGGGTCATCATAAAGCCACATGTAAGCATGGCCATAAAGATTTACCATAAAAGTTCCCTCTTAGGCAGCAATAGCTCTGTGGAATGCCTCCAATTTTTCTTTTGTACATGGAGAATATCTTAATTGGAGAATTATTTAAAATATGGAGAATATTTTAAACTGATATACAACTTTTAAATTCAGCCAGCCACTAGCTCAGTACGTAAAATACCATTCAGGCACATATCTAGCACTTAAATAGCCAAAGGTTAGAGCGTCCTTTGTATGGATATTTCTCCAACTTTACTAAAGTTGATAAGGAAATGCTGAGACCAGAGTTCCTGAATCAGTGAAGACAGGGGTGTTCACAGTATGATTTCAATTTTTAGAGATTTTCAAGATGCCCTGATCACAAATATGTGCAGTGTGGACCATTTTAAAGCGCTATTGTGTAAGACTAAAACCGTGTCTGTCTATATGGTGTAGTTTGCACTATACATCTAGTCACAACTGAGCTGGCACTTAACATGTGTGGATTTTTTTAGTTTTTTTAATTTTTTTTTTTTGTTTAGTGTTTTGGCGGGTTTGTTTTGTTTTGTTTTTTGGTGAAGGAAGTAAAATTTACAAAAAACCTCTCTTGTTTAGACCAAAGTGCACTGGGGAATGATCGACTCAGAAAAAGATGCCAAAGCATCACCTGATCTGGAACCTGTCAAATTCAGGGCACCATTTTAGAGAGCCAAAAGGCTTCTCTGACCTTCCTGCTTATTCTGAGTGTTAATCTGTTCCTATTTTTTATGTGACTTATACCTGAAGACCAGAAACTTGATAGAGGAAGCAGACAAAGAGCTTTGGAAATATTGCGAGAGATGGTCCCAAACTCCCTGTGACTAGGACTTAGCGGCAAAGCAGCACTGAAGGTATTCTGGGCACACCACTAGTAACTGAGAGGACATCAAGATGAGTTCTAAGTGGGAGATTTATTTCTGCTGCTATAAATGACCGTATATTTATATGTCTAGGATTTGAAGACATGAGGTAGGACGGGCTTTTTATTATTTCTTGGGGGAGTTTATTAATGCCCTTATAACGTGTGGTTGTAGTTTGGCATTGAAATCTGAAATCTGATTGAATTTAGGTATAAGAATTCTACGTTTTTGATGTTCCTCTGGCAACAAAGTCATAGAGAGTTGTTCCTAACTGTTCCTGTTAACTTTTTGACTGGGATCATTTATTTTTTTGTCTGGAATATACTTAATGTCTGTAGACACTGACTTTTTTTGCTGTTTTTCTGTCTTATGCAGTTCATGTTCAGGCATGCCGTGCCCTGATGATTACTTCCATCCTTTTGGGACTCATAGCTACAATACTCTCGCTGCTTGGTTTACAGTGTGCACACATTGGGTTGAGTAATGAAGATGGAAAAGTGAAGTTTGCTGTCACGGGAGGATTTCTCTTTATTTTAGGAGGTAATATTGAAGCCGAAATGAGAAGGCTGTCAATACTTGCTATTGCCGGACTAAACTAAATAGTTTAGAGTTCTACAGTCATCAAAGAAATTACTCACTTAGGTGCTGCTTTAACATTTTTGGGTAGGTCTCTGTTCCATGGTGGCTGTTTCTTGGTATGCTGCGATGGTTACGTCTCAGTTCTTCGACCCGTTGTATGCTGGTACCAAGTAAGTTAATAGATGTGTTTTAGCAAGTCATTGATATTTTATGTTTTCATGTTTTAATGGTGGCAGCAGATGGCTCTCTCCACGGCACATTTTCACCTCAGACCTCCTTTGGTGAGGAGGAAGGAAAGGTTCTCCCCCAGATTATTGAGTCTTTTGGAGATATCAACCCCAAATTCTGATTCAGAGTCTGATTCAGAGTGCCTACCTTGATAATTGTAGCCTCTGTACAGGTACCTTCCTCATGTAGAGTAAGGTGAAATGCAGAATAAATGATCAACTAGTAGAATTATTAGCCTCTTCCAGAGCTTTCTCATGTTAATATGCAGTCTTTTCCTCCTGGTTGTTTCTCCCCAAGCACATTCAAGGGAAAATGAGACTACCTAATCCTCAGAGATAGTGCAAAAAAACCCCCAAACCTCTTTCATCATCGCTACCACCTTTCTGACTCACAAGGCTTTGGCCATGGCCACCATCTATGTGTTTCATCTGCCTCTAGGTCCCTGTATCTGAGCTGTTTTCAGACGAGCATGCATTTCACCTTTTTCTAGCTTTCTGAGGTCTAAGCATCCAGTGTAAGTTTCTCACCCAGGACCCATCTATAGTCAGTGGAGAGACAGGCAAACACCGGGCAAGCAAAGAGGAGTGCTGACTGCGTGCATTTTACAACATGCATTTACAGTGAACATCACACATGTACAACAAACATTGCACACGTAAAAGAAACCTCACATATCTCTCATCCAATTAAATTTTCACCTTGCATGTCAACTGTAGGGATTGCTCTTCATGTAGCCCTGACAAGTTCAGTTTCCCACTTTCCTGTCCTTTAGGAACGCTGGGAGGAAGATTGGTCATGACTGTTACTCAGAATAGGTATTTTTTTTATGGCTGCTCCTTCTTTGCCATCAAATAGATGCTGCATTCATTCCTTTTATGGTCCTTCATCATCACTGCCTGCTCACTGTATCATTTATGGCTCTTTGCTAACATGGTGACTTCGGTTTCTGGAAAGTCCATGGTACCAGCAACCGCTATTGCCTCTCTGTTCACTTTTTCAATGGCATTTTCAAATGCCATTTTACCTCTGCTGCTGCTCCTTCTTGGGAGGAGTGCGAGATGTTTTAATACCTCAGAAACACAAGCAGCTAGAGCTAGATGCAAATAGCTACCCCTCCATCTAAATACCGAAAAGCTTTCCGACTTTCAGTTTTTCTTCTTCGTGACATTGTTATATCAACTTAATTGACTGTCCTGAGAAATGTGGAGACAATATGGAAACTGGCTTAAACTGAGTAGCAGTGATCTGCAGGTAGCAGAAGAATGTTGCTCGAGTGTACTGCTTGTTTTAAAGAAGTTCAGCAAGTATTTTTTACCATACACTAGTAGTTCAACATTTGTCTTTAAAATGTTGGCAAATTTTATAGAAATAAGCATCAGTTAGCTTAGAGGAATGAAAACTCATATTCTTGTGTGATAGAGAAGCAACAGTCTTTAAACTAAATGCCAGCTGAGGACAGCTTATTGTGGGCAATAAGTTTATCAGTTGGTAGCAAGGGTAGAGGTAACTGGGTGGTTTCTTTGGAGAGGGGGAAAGGGAGAAGGAAACAATACATTGTCTGGGGAACATGGAAGAGCAGATCTTGTGTGCAGTTCTGGGCTCCCCAGTATAAGAGGGACTTGGAGCTCCTAGAGACAGTCTAGCAGAGAGCAACAAAGATGATCAAGGGACTGGAACATCTCTCGTATGAGGAGAGACTGCATGAGTTGGGCCTGTTCAGCTTGGAGAAGAGAAGGCTGAGAGGGGATCTCATTGACATGTATAAGTTCATAAAGGGAGAATGCAAGGAGGAAGGGACCAAGCTCTTCTCATTGGTGGCCAGTGACAGGACAAGAAGAAGTGAGTATAAGTTGAAACACAGGAAGTTCCATCTCCAGGTGAGGAGCAACTTCTTTACTATTAGGGTGACAGAGCAGTGGAACAGGCTGCCCAGGGAGGTTGTGGAGTCTCCTACTCTGGAGGTCTTCAAAACCCCCCTGGATGCCGCCCTGTGCCACATGCTCTAGGTGTGCCTGCGTGAGCAGGAAGGCTGGACTAGATGATCTCTAGAGGTCCCTTCCAACCTTGAACATTCTGTGGTTCTGAGATCTGAGCGAGGAGGAATGTATACATCATGCCAGTACCTATACTAAGACTATAGTTTTTAGATCAGAAGAACTATAAATCTTTAGATCCTGGGATCATATTTGAAGGGTTTTATAGGCTTCCCTTGAGGATTGGTGCTGAGAGATTAGTGATGCAGTGCTTTGTTATGAATCAAAGTACTTTCAGCAATTACTTTTGGTGTTTTTTAGTTATCCTTACCCTACCAAACAAGCAATCACAAAGAAATTGTGCTTATTAAGACCTTTTTTTATGTTTTCTATCTCCTTGAGATAATTATCTGAGGGGCAATAAATATGTTGGAGGACCTAAACAATGGATGATAAGGAACTCCACTCAGGAGAATAGTTGGGGTAGTTATGTGCTGCCACTGCAGTGCCGCAACATCACTGTGTGTTAATCAGTGACCAGTTTGTTTGCCTTCAGTAGCTGAAGAGAACTTTTAGTACAGCTAAATTTGGTATTAGAAACTTTTGTTTTAGGCAGCAGGTCTTAGCGAAGTAACATTTCTCATGGGCAAAGGTAGGCAGACTGTGGTCTCTTGAGTAATTTATTCTCCTTGGAATCAGTGAGATTGACTTATTTTAATACCATTACTGGGCAGTATTGATCACCAAACTGGCAAATATATATATTTTTTATTTTATTTTTTTATGCATGCTTTTCTACTTTCAGCAGATGAGTTCATTTTATTATTAGGTCTTACAGAAACCTTAACTCGCTCGCAGCTCTCTCCTATGAACTCTGCTGGGATGACTGCAGCTTTTTTGTCAATAGGGAGGCCACGAGTGAGTACCAACTACTGTGTACTGGTCAACACTCTCCCAATGGCCCTTACTATTCCTCCTGCATCTTCTCCTGATTTCTAGAGTTCGTTTGAGATGACGATGGTCTTTTGTTCTGTGTTTGTGTGGTGCTCAGAGCAGAGCTCTCGTCCTCAGAGTGTGATAGGATCACAGAAGGAAGCAACCTCCAGGAAAGCACCAAAACATTCTTGCAACAACTAGCACTAAAATCAGAGGCACTCGTTATCTCAAATAATGATTTTATGTTTATAGAAAATACACTTACTTGGTGTATTTTATCTGGTTCTGCATGGTCCACGACATTTACCTTGCTCTTGCTATTGGCTCTGACTCTTAAGTCGACAGCTGGGCATTGATGATTCAGTGACTCAGACCTGCCTATCTGTATCATGAGAAATAGCTAACCACAGAAACAGTTTTCTATGGACATGACTGCTAAGTCAGCTATAAACAGCTAAGTATACGGGGCTAACTTTTCCTTTTTTAGTAGGAAAATCAGGAAAGAGTAATTGTTTTCTGTGTAATCTTACATTAAACTTAAAACACGAAGAATAGTCAGCACTCTATCCTTACTGACTTTTTTTTCCCTTAAGTTATAATCAGTTACAATCTAGTGCTGAAGGGTATTTAGGAATGATCCCTGAATGAAGAAGGATAGCTCTGTTTTCCTGAAGAACAAGAGTCCTTCAGGAAAACTCGGAGTCTGAGAAAATCACAGATGATGAATCCTGACCAAAAGAATAATCATGATGCTATTGTCTGGTGGGAGTTTGACAAAAGAAAAAAAAAAGAAAATGCAAATTTTTAAATTTTTATGTTTGAGCAAGAAGTAGAGCTATGATGTCATTACACCCACATTCCTCTTATGTGCTTCCCTCACAGGTATTTGCGTTTAGCAAGCTCTCTGTGCAAGTGCTAGGTACAGTACTGCACTAGGTAGAGTGATCATTTCTAAAGTTCATCAGCAGTTCATCATCCCCATGGCCTGTGCTTGGCTTTTAGGAACCTCAGTCATTTATGACCTGAAGAGGCAGGATCAATTAAGGGGGATTAGTGAGTAATGGTCACATTGTTCATCTGGTATTCAGCAAAAGCAAATAAATACACGTTTAGCTTTTCTTTTTCCATTTTTCTTTTGAACTTTTCAAAGTGATTACTTTAGATGGCTTCTGTTTTTAGTGTCTCTCCTTTATGACCAACAATTTACTGAATAAACACAATTATTTATTGCCACTTATCATTATGATTGCTTACCTCTTTCTGTTCTGTCAGTGATTAAGAAGTGCACTTAAATATGCTCTTAGGAGTTTTACTGAACCATGATGGAAATGGGCCTGTTCTCCTCTGTTAGCCATTGAAATACCTTTCATTAGCTGATTGCTACCCAGAAAGGCATTTGTTTGCTTGACTCAGGCACCTTATGGCTTAGTCTGAAGTAACTGCATCTGCATCACACCATATAATGTAAGAGCATAGAAATGGTTAAATCTTTTCTTTGTGAGCCTGTTTCATGCTGCTTCCTTAAAGGATTTTATGTTTCAGGTATGAACTAGGAGATGGTTTGTACTTAGGCTGGGCTGGATCTGTTCTTTATATACTTGGTGGGATCTTCCTGACCTGTTCATGCAAAGGGAAGAAAAGAGGAAAATGCAGGTAATTTTTGAATTTGTTAGTTGAAATAGCAACTGTCAATTATATACTTTTGTATATTATACAAATTGATATTTTGTATTTGTGTACCATTAACTCGGTCTCACCCCTGTATGAAGCTGCAGCCATACTAAGTCCAGGTAGGAAACTGCTGCTGCTAATTCAGTGCTATGATGCAACATTACAATCAGCAATCACATATTATCAGTCTTCTATAAATCCAGGTCCTGTTGATACTGCTAAAATCTGTATGATTAAAAATATGCAGTCAAAGAGCAAGCTGTCCTTTGGCCAAAGGAAAACTGCAGTGTGTTATAATCAAGTTCTTCTCCTGTAACACTAGCTACTCTTAAAACAATCAAATATTTAATTTAAACATTTAATTTGTAGAAAATGTCATCATATTTTCCTCCAAAAATACAGATTGTTTGATGTCTATGATTTTTTTATCTTGTTTCTCATGGGATGCTCTGTTGTGCATCGAACCAGAGGGGGAAAAAAAAAAAAAAAAAAAAAAAAAAAAAACAGAGATTTCTGGCCTCCATACCTATTCTTGCTTGACTTTTTTTTTCATTTTAAATTATTTGTATACAGTCCATTACATACTGAGCTTAAATTGATGGCATTTCAGTTTTATGGTAATATTTCATTAACCACTGTGAACTTCGGATCCAACTCACCCTACCTTGGTACAAAGTACCAAATATATGGAAATCTATTGCAAAAATCAGGTAAAACTGCTGCAGACAGTAATAAGTTCAACACTCTGAAGGCCAGCTGAAGGCCTTGGTTAGATGCCGGGTGCTTTTGGTTTCCGTTCTCATTGTCTTGCTCCCCTCACAAAGATGAGCAGCTTACACGGTCTCAGGGCAGCCCAGTCTCAAACTGCTCCAGCTCTAGCCCAGACAAGTTGGGAGCCCAGAGGGTGTCTCTGAATAAGAGCCTTCAGTCTCCTGCTGACGAACCTCACTCTTCCTCTTCTCTAGAGGACCAGCAAGAGTCTGCTCATTTCTGTGCCTGTGGGAAGTATTTGATATCAGTGGGCTGGTTGCAGACCTAAATGAGTAACCTCCTCAGTATCTAAAACTGCAAAGTTGTGTGTAATCCTAATGATTTTATACGATTTTTTTTTTCTTAATTTGCAGTGGCAGCAAATATGAGTATTCCATGGGCCAGGCAGTTCCTCAGCAGCACATGTTCTCCAAGAACTCGGAGGCAGTCAGAAGAACCAAGGAGTATGTCTAAACTTGTACATTTTACATTACTTGCAATGTTCATAGTTTGTGTATTCAAAAAAAAAAAAAAAAAAAAAAAAAAAAGTGACCCAAAAAAAAAAAAAAAAAAAAAAAAAAAAAAAAGTGACCCAGGAGGTGAGACAGAAATCCAAACATTGGTCTTGCATCAGAACTTCCACTTAGGTTATGGAGAAATGTAATTAAAAACAAAACAGGAGACAAGTAAAGCTACTATGCAGTAATGTATTCATTGGTTCAATGCATTTATTATCAACATTCCAGGGAAGATAAAAGCTTAAGGTAACTGTGCGTTTGCAACCCTTCCGCCACTCTTCAGTTGGTATTGCTCTGCTCTGTATCTGTTGCTTCAGTAGCAGCGTGCTCCCTAACTGTAAGGATCCATCACCTCATTTTGGGGTGTAAAACTTTTTATTTAGTACTAACACATAGTGTGGTAGTGATTTTTTTTTTTAATGCCATAAGCCTTTTTTAACTGTGTGATGATGTTTTAATGAGAATTAAGTCTGTTGCTCAGTGGACAGCTTTCGCAGACGTAGATCTTCTTCATATCGCTGCAGCTGAGTCCAAAATCCTGCATTGGGTTCTGCTTCGGGCCTGGCAGCCTTTACAGTCTAGAGGAGGAGGAGAGACATAGAAATCGTGTGAGGAATTGGGCAAACTTGCCTTAGACTAAAAGACCTTAGAAAATCAGTCATATACACATATATGCACACATACACATATGCACACACATATATATGTGCAGCAGGTATTTACAGTTAGCCTTAAGCCATTCAGGAGCCCCCCGTGGGTGATGGTTCTTTGCTATATCGAGCTGTTACATGGCTGATATATATATATATATGCCAGCTTAAAGAATGACCCCTGCAAAACAGCCTCTTGCTTTTTCTCACTAAGTTGCTTCACCTATCTGACTGTAACTTCCCTTGTTGCAAATAAGCTACTGCCAGCCAGAAGCCACACACAAAAGCCAGCTCTGCCTACAGATTTTACCTTAAAGCCTGCTAGCATTTTAAAGCCTATTTGTGCAGGAAATGTAGCCAGGAATGCATATTCGTTCAAGTAGGGTAGAGGAGTGGAAAGATTTTATTCAAATAGCTAGATATCTGCCAGGAAGCAGGTGAGAGCCCCAAGCCAGTGCTACGCCGCGGCTCCCGGTGAACGCCGCACGTCTCCCCCACGTGGGTTCAGCAGGACATGGTACCGCAAAGGCCTCCTGCAGCGAGAGGTGCCGGTGGCGCATGAGGAAGGCTGTGCAGACGGCGGCTGAGCGGCTGCGGCCGCTCTTGCAGTACACGAGGCAGGTGCCGCCACCGCGCAGCGTGTCCTCGATGGCCTCGCTGCAGTGCTCGAAGTATCCATACAGGTCCTCGGCAGGGTCATCGAAGACAGGCACCCGCAGGCAGTGGATATGCTGTAGCGCCGGGAATGGCTGCTGCCGTGACACATTGATGCAGAGGGTGACGCGCTCGCGCTGCAGCAGTGCTGCGTCGCGTGCGGCACGCACCGAGCCCAGCAGCAGCCCCGCAGCCACGGTGCACAGCGGGGCCATGGCTGCTGCTGGCGCTCAGGCTGCCCACGCCGCTGTGAAGCTATATTTACCACAGGCTGGCTGGTTCCCAGGCTGCCTGCACTGACGAACTGCTATATTTACCACACAGCGGTGGGTCCGGCAGCTCCCAGTGCCACCAGGAGCCCCAGCGTGGCTCTCGTGAGCAGTGTCGCCCTGAGGGCCTTGGCGCAGCCCTACCTCTGTGCACCTGGGCCCGGGAGGTGCCTGACAGGCCTTCTTGTGTCCCCCCAGGGCCTCCAGTCCCATAGGGCCCAGGGGACCCTAGGAGATTAATGTGGCCCCCAGGGCCTCCGTGCACATGGGGCTAGGAGGGCCCTGCAGGGACGTGTGTGACCCTTTGGGGCCTCTACGTGCACAGGGCTGAGGGGATCCTATGTGCTTTCATACAACCCTGTGGGGTCTCCATACACACCGGGGCTGGCCCCATCAGATTTTGTGCCATCCCCAGGGCCTCTGTGTGCAGAGGGCCAGGGGAGGAGGCCCTATGAGCTTTCACGTAGCCTCCCAGGCCATGCGCCCCGTGCCCACTCTAGGCCCTGTGCACGCTCTGTCTTCCATCCACACTGCAGACAGAGGCACAGCCTGCCTCTGCCTCTGTCCACAGGAGTCGCAGGGGTCCTATGGGCTTTTGTGTGGCTCTCCAAGGTCTTCGTGCACACGGCATCAGTGGGACCCAATGAGAGTTTGTGCAGTGCCTCAGGGCCTCCCAAGTGTGCACGGGCTATGGGGGTCCTATGGGTGTTCGTCCTAGGGGTCCTAGCTCCCTCGCCAGGGGCTTCTGTTCACAGTGGTTTGGGAGGGTCCTATGGGCCTTCCTGCAGCCACCCAGGATTTCCAGGTGCACTTGGTCACTGGGCCCTATGGGCCTTCGTGCGGCCCAATGAGGCCTCCATGCACACGGGGCCTTGGAGGCTCTGCAGGCCTTTGTGTGGCCCCTCAAGGACTCTGGGCACATGAGGCCCCTCTATGTTCCTTCGTGAGGACCCCTGATGCCTCCGTCCACATGGGGCTTGAAGGGCCATATGGACTTTCATGCGACCCCTTAGCGCCTCTGTGTACACTGGGCCAGGGGTGCCTTATTGTCCTTCGTGTAGCCTCTTGGGCTCTAGGTGGGCACAGGGTTGTGAGGGCCTTATGTAAGGTTGTACAGCCCCTGGGGGCCTCCGTGTGCAGAGGGCCAGTGGGCCACTAAGGGATTTTGTGCAGCACCCTGGGGCCTCCGTGTGCGCTGTATTGCAGGGGCCCTACAGGTTTCCATTTGGTCTCCCCGGGGCCTCTGTCAGCCCTGGGTCAGGGCTGGTGCTTAGTGCTTTTGTGCAACCTCCCCATTCCTCCATGCGCACTGCACTGGCGAGGCCCTAAGGGCTCTTGTGCAGCCTCCCCAGGCTTCCATCTGCACTGTGCTGGCGGGGGCATAGGGTCTTTCATGTGGCCTCACATGCCTCCATGCCCACTGGGTTCCGGGGGGCCCTACAGGCTTTCATATAGCCCCCCTGGACCTCTGTGCACACTGGCCTGCAGGGATCCTATGTGCTTTCCGGAGGCCTCCCCAGGACTCCATGTGGCCTGGGCTGGGGGGCCTCTATGTGCTTTTATGCGGCCTCCCCACGCCTCTGTGGTCACTGTGCTCCGGGGGCCTTCTGGGCTTTTATGTGATGTCCCCTAGTGTCCATGTGCACTGGGCCAGGGGGTGTCCTGATCCACTGCGGCGGGGGGGAAGGTTTAAAGGTTTAGATACAATCCCAAGAGCGAGATTAAGACACAAAAGAGGCTAAATGCCATACAGCCTTGTAAGCTCTAGTCTCATAGTTGCGATATAGAGCAAAGAGAAGAAGAGAAAAGGAAGAAAGAAAGATAGGCAAGCAAGTGGGAAAGAGAGAGACAGCAAGATTATAGCAACTACCACCACCAGTCCAGTTGTGTTTCATCGGTTCCACCTCGGTGCAGGTCTCTTGAAGAAGGCCACTCTCAGTGCAGGTGATGATCTCTTGAGAGAGTTCAGAAGAAGACAAAGAAGAAGCCATTCACTTGGTATGCAAGTGAAGAAGTCGCTCAGTGCAGGTGAAAAGGAAGGAGGACTCTCTCAATGGAGAAAATCATAGTCCTTTTGTTGTTCCAGTTCTTGAAGAGTTTGCCCACCTGAAGGTTTCTGTTACATGTTATACATGCATTGTGCTCTGGTATTCCTCTTTCCCCCAACTTGAGTGCCCGTGCCGCTTGACAGGTATTTCTGAGCATTGTTAGCCCAAAAAGTCGTAGATCCTCAAGATGATATCGCAGTCTTCCTGGAGACAGGTCAAGAGGTGTGAACGGCAGGACAGCAATGTTGAGATAAGCACATAACCAAGAATGCCCTTGTTCGGGTCTTGAGCTGATATCCCGGTCTTCCAAGGTAAATGGTGAAGGAACAGGGCAACGCGCGGCCGCGCGTTCAGGGAAGACCCTTCCCCAAGCACCCAGCTTTTCTGTGATTCCTGCACTGCATTTTCATGGTTGCCATTCAGGTCCACATCTCAGTCACTCCGTTCCTCAGCCAAAGGCCTGAACATTGAATGGAGTGGTAATTAATTGCCTATGTAACGAGCAAGGTCAATTTAACACAGCGAGACTCTGCAGCACCTGCATTTACACTCCCTGCAGGCACGAACAACTTGTGGGAGCTCCTGCAGGAAGGGCATCCTGTGAAAACACCTTCCCCACTCCAAGCACGCTAGTCTACCCGACTCATTAAGGCTTTATTCTCCAGCTTCTTTACAGTAGCTTATTTTTGTGCCTCGGGGGGCAAAAGAATTCCAGCTAGGAACGGCGTCCGGCGTCCCTTGTCCCTGAACGGCAGATCTCATTCTCGGCTCATTTCTGAAGCCGTTAAAGTATTTGTTTTTGAGGGAGCCTTTTATTTCCTCAGCAGAGGAGTCCACGAGGCAAGTCCTGTCAGCTCTGCATCAGCAGGGCAGGCAGGCAGCCCCTGAGGGCGGCCAGGCACTCTAAGGCCAAGCAGCAGCCCCCAGGCCGGGACTAAGCAGTCAACATGGCTCCAAACGGGCCGAACGCGCCCGGGCCGCGGCAGGAGCAGCTCCTCAGCCCGCCGTCCCTCGCGCACTACACCAGTAACAGTGCAAAAGCAGCGACCCCCATCGCTAAGGCCACAGCCAACGTTTGTCGCCCGTCCTCTCCCGGGACTGAGAGCGAAACGGCGGGAAACGGCGCGAACGCCGGGACAGAGCCGGGACTCGAACCCCGATCCCACAGCCGGCACCACGCGCCCCACGCTCCGCAGCGCGCATGCGCCGCGCGCAGCCCCGCCCGCCCCGCCTCTGCGCCAACGCGCATGCGCCTCACGCCGCGCGCGGCCCCTCCCGCCCTGCCTCGGCGCCGATGCGC